CTTGGATCAGTCCTTCTCTATTGAAATGTAATTCAGGGATGAAAACCCATTCACACCATTTCAGGTTCATTATAAGCATTATAGTATTACAGAGTAGAGTGCATTGTAGATATATAAAATGGTTCTTTTCCAACTATAACATCTGACCTTCATCATTGAGTTAAAGTGTCACTTAATGCCAACTTCTTCATGTAAGTGGGTAGGAACTGAAGCTTATCTACTTAAATGATCACTTCATGTCTCATAGCTCCAAGACATCATCAAATTGGCCATTGTATTGGCTTTATTTCATTAAGTCCTCCCACATCCATTTGAAAACATTTCATTTTCCTTTTGTATGATTCTTCAAAACAATTAAATGTGTAACATACAACATAGACAAAGTTGTAGTGTCCTTATTCTGGGACAAAATGTGTAACATACAATTTGTATGTTACACATTTTGTCCAAGAATAAGGATACAACATACACAAAAATGCAGTGTCCTTATTCTGGGACAAAAAGGGTTTAATCATTTTAAAGGATTTGATCTGCCCAAGAAACACTTCATTACAGGCTGCTTTGGTATCCATATAGTAACATAAAAATACAGTTTGAATAACCCATTACATAACAAACTTGTGATGCATTTGAAAAGTCTATCAATATATTGGAAGCACTTTTGAGGAAAAGGTCTTTACTCCAACTAAAAGTAAAAGCTGAAAAAGTTTATTGAATAGGAAATGAGATGTTAAATCTGACTGAGTGATTTCTCCCCTGGGCTACAAACAAATCAAAGCGCCTGTTCATCAATACCAAATATGGTACCTTTCAAATGAGATCTCTATACGCATCTCTGGCAACAGAAACCTAAATGAATGTTTCCATTCTGAGAATAAAAATGCCATGGTATGTATGTCACAATTTGCACTATTCTCTGAAATAATACAATATATTCTGGCAATTGCCAATGGGCTACTGATAAGGATAGGACAGACAAGAAAGGTCTGCAAGGATTTGTGTAATCAAAGAAAACATGGAAGACTGTCAAATGAGGAGCTGGTGCACCCTAAAGCCTATAAATCTATGTCAACATGCTTCTAATGCCAATACTTGGGGTTTGGATGAAATAAATGCAACTTGTTATGATTCTGACATCAGTGAAGTAGGAACAGAAAACACCTCCATAATCAGAATGACATCTATTACCTGAGAGAATATGCTCTCTATTTTGATTCGAAATTTCAAAATTGGCATCCAAAGCAGTTTCCCGGTTCTTCAAACAATTTCAGTTATCAGATTGTTGTAAAATTCATTAGTTTTAATAATTCAGTAGAATGGATATGATTATCTGTGCCATCCTTCATATTTTGCCAATAAATTAATGAGTTATCTTTCTTAATAAGCAATTAATACCTAAATGAGCCATTGCTTGACTGAACATCATATATAAGGTGTTGATGGAACACCTACTATGTGAGGGGACAGCATCTGAAGGGACACCAAGTATGAGAGAACAGCATCTGGCAGACCACCTTTTGTGAGGGAACAGTATCTAAACAACAGTTGCAGTATTCAATTCATTTTGGTGGATAATTTGGCATGATGATCATTGGTATAATATAGATGTTTGGGTAGAAACCCATTCTTCAGATATTCTTCCTTGTGCTTTTAGAAAGTTATGTTCCTATTGAATATGGAAGATGCGCAAAAGTCGTGAAGGCATTCAATATCTAATTTATTTCAACAAAACAAAAAAGCTCTTCATTTCTTACAAGTTCGATAGAATAAATAGCGAGCAAAAGCTGATAATTTCTTTGGGATATTGCAACTCCAACTCATCAATGACAGTCAATGATAAAAATAATATGATTTATAAATGGATTTGAGAGTCCATAGATCTTTGATCTATTCAGTACAGGCGATATGAATATTATAGTTCCTTCCGGATTGGACAAAAACATCACTTTTTCCTTGACATAACTCAAATGAAGAATGTAGAGAAATAATCAACAAATATAAAGTGGGAATATATGATCTTAACTGGGGAAATATATGTTTAGGTAAATCTTAATTGACAAATTCATATAAAATGGCAAATTAATTTAGGTTTGAGAATTTGGATGGGCAGAAATATTTGAAGCAAATTATCCAATTATGGTGTTCCACGATGAAGCTTAATTTGAACGAACAGTCTCATTTTACTTCAATTTATCCCTTATTGAATTTTCATTTTTGTGATGAATAGCCCTGCATAGCCTACACTTGTGAACTATATCATTCTTACTGGATATTTAGGCTAGTTTTCCAAGAAATAAATAGAACAGAGGGCTTCTTATTCAATTTTAGATAGACTCATGGCTATTTTATATCATATAGTTTTGCCTTTACAATTCTATGTCCTCATAGCTCAATAAGAAAAAAAGTACCATAGCTATAGGTAATATGCAAGGGTTGCAGAAGGACAAGATCTAATAAGTCGTTGAAAAATTACCCAATAAACCAAATGAAATATTATCAACATCATACATGGGATTTGGTTCCTTTTGATTTCTGCATCCATTATCTGGACTAGTTAGCCTCCAGGGAGATATACTATGGGAGAATATAGTATGGGAGAAGTCTCTACTACTGACCTTAAGTCAGACATAAATCAACAAGTTCTGTTTTGTTCTTTACTTCGAGATAATTAACATAAGTTTATATGATAAGATGTATCATATTATTGTAAATATACAATGTAGTAAGAAATGAATGTTGGTTGTAGTCTCTATTGTATTTGTTAGTATTAGAGTATACAAATGGCTAGTCGGAATGTTAAGAGAGAAACCACTGGTATCCATAAGTTAATCTTATTTGTAACCTCTATATATTATTGAGGCATCTTTCTTTTCCTTTCCCATCAAAGCAGGCCGTCAAATTATATGATAGATCCTTTAATGGGATGACTCCTCCTCCTTCAGATATATGCAATCATTTCACAGACTAATGAAACTACTTTCACAATTTTCCTGATTGGGATATGAAATGATTTATCAGAGCAGAAAGGAGTTTGTTGAAGTTTGATGACCCGACTGATGACAATGTACCCTCAGATAGGGTTCATTTATACATGCAATTTATTAATCCATCTTAGGGAGAGGTTAACGAGACTTGCTATATTGAGTGATTGTCAGGGACTGACTTCATTACACAGCATTAAGTTAAATAAAATGCAACTCATGCATAAAAGCATCTATAACTCTCCATAGGCAAAATGTGGTGTATCGTTACATAAAACCTTGAAAAAACCTTGACCTATTGAATGCAATAAGTACTCACAAATCATTTACCAAATTAAAGCTGAAAATAAGTCTCTAATTTATTCTTCATTATTAAACTTGTACAGGGATCCCCATCGCTGTGGTAACCAAAACAAAAACACCAAGGGCAGTTTAGCAACAAGACAATATCAGAGGATTATTGATCCATCCTTACATGTATTGTTGTGTCAAATAGAGACTGCTGGAATTCGAAAGACTGCCTTTATCAATAAACGGTCAATTTTAGTAATTTAGAATAATATACAACTTACTTTTCTATTTGTCACTTTTTACAGATTACATGAAAATGGCGGTCAAAAAATTAATACATATGTTGGCAAAAAAACATTTAACTAACAATTAAGAATAAATCTGAGCATTTTGCCATTTTCTGGAAATAAAAGAGTATAGCATACAGGAGTATAACACATAATGTGATATATATGAGAAATACAAATATACCTATATTTTATATTCAAGTGAATTTGTTCAAGGATTAGTAGTGCTAAATATGTTAGGAAACATACCAATACCAATGTTTATAGTCATTAATGATAAAATAAAAAATATGTTATGAACATGAAATTAAGCTAGGGTAGAGGTATACTGATGAATTAAATGGTAATCTTTGGGCTTATATTCCAAAGTCATTCTTTTGATTTGCTGTTTGTTGGTTTTCCTCAAAGCTATCTGATTATAAGCTTCAATTTGGCCAAACTTCTGATGGAAAAATAAAACCATACATGTTAAGGGGGATCAAAATGTTCTCTATCTTAATAACAAAATCGGTCACACAAACTTTTTTATTCAATGATGAAGCACGATCATGTCAAAATAAAATAATATATATTCATTCTATCGTAGATCTCCGGGTACATAACAACCTTTAATAGGATGGAGATTGGAGAACGTGAGCCAACCAAAATATACTTACACGTACATTAGCATGGGTATTATTGATATATTTCCTAATTTTGTTAGTTTTATTAATTTCTTATAAAAGCTTAAAGCAATCAAAAGACACCCTATGGTAAAGCAGTTCCAACCCTTTTACTCACTAGTATTTATGCATGCTGATGATATAACTTGTCTTAAACATTGATAAATTGATGTTCAAAATTGCTTTGAATAAAGATACATAGAATTGCATGCATTATAATCATCATGCATGGTGACATATACAGATAGGTCAGGGGTCAGATTTTGAGTTTGTTGGATATATAATAGATGACTTTACTGACCATAGTTGTCAAAAGATATAAGTTGGATTTAAGTTGGACATACAGTAAATTACATAATTGACCATTATTGTTGAATGATAAGTTGGATATATGACACAGATCTATAGAGAACTAGTAAATGTCAACATACATTTCTATAAAACTCTGATTAAAAAAGAAATAGACAAAACATGCATACATGTCTGAATGTTATAGTTTAAATACATTAAGTCAGATAAGAGTCTTTAGAAAGGTCCCACAAAATGCATATCTTTATAACTTAAAAGATAATTAATAATATAAAATATACAATTTTATGCAAAAATCAATCACATCTTATTTGAAAAATAAACAAATTACAAATATTCCAATTTTAGATATTCATAAAAAAATCAAATATATTATTCAATTTATAATTTAATGCCGTGGATACAAATTAAATATATTTTTCAAATGAAAATTTGGCTGATTTGCATAAATTGTTAATTGCAAAACTTACGAATACATAGAGTGTCTTGACTGGTTGAGCAAACTTGTGCTTGGTAAGTCATTCCAGTGCACTTTGAACATGCTAATTGGTATAGAGAATCATGGCAAATTAGTGAGCGCTTCAAAATGACACACTTGAACATTTCATATAACTGAACCATCTTGAACTGTTTGACTTGAAACAGCTCATATGTCAAATGACAAGAATGGAAGTTATACATACAAGTATAAGTAATTGAAGTGCCTTTCATTTTAATTAAGTATGTAAAATGTGTTTTTCAGGTGTTCAGTTCAGTTTGGTTCCCTGATTGTTTATGCATCAGTATATTCTGAAATGATCAAGTAAATATGTCAAAATATTAATTCAATACAATCACACTAACTTTGAAGGTCTTTTAACAACTCAGTTGACAAAAATGGTATGCATCTCCAAATATGGTAAATGTCTTCCCATATTTGGCCTGCATGACCATATTTGGAAATCTAACAATACAGACTATATCAAAATGCAATAATTGGTAAGTAGAACCAGTAAAACATTATCTTAACCTAGCTCTTAATACACAATTACAAAACGCAGTCTTAAAATAATGTTTTATCAGGTCAAAACTGCCTTTTATATTAATTATCATTAATTAATTAACAACTTATTTCAGTGATTGCCATACAAAATAACTAGATAATTATAATTCAAAAATGATGCAATCATCATGCATGCTAGCAAAACTTCTTAAAGAAATGAAACATACTTGTTCATTCATTTATTTGAATCAAAAATGTTAATTTCTTCAAAAAGATGTGAACAGATCATAAAAAAACATTGACCTAATAACTAATTATACTAAAACTAGAATGTATATTAATTATAATCTAAAAAACAAACACTAAATAACACAAATGTTAAACAAAATGCATTAAAACTAATAAGCAGTAAAGAGAATTGTTGAGCAACAAGGATTGAAGGAGACGGTGATAATATGAATACTCGCACCAGATATACAAATGATCAATGTATACGTTGATCAAAAATACTGTTCTTTCATTAATTGATGATTACCAATATGATATATCTTATTTGTATTGAGCCATGTTAAAATATTATTCAGAAAATGGAAAGATGATAATTGTCTCTGAAATGACCAGTATTAGGGAGAGAAGTCAAATAAGAGGCCCAACCAACAGCTCCACTAGCAAATCATATACCAGGGAAGCAAACATTTCCACCACTTCTTGGTTGTGACAGACTAATTTTTCATAATTCATCAAAATTAAATTTTAAACAAAGAATTAATCATGTATGACTCTTTATGACTCTGTGTATTATGGATCTATTAAGTGACAGTGAAAACCATTTTCATATTTCCAATGGTATATCACAACCTGGGGTCAAATTGCCTTCATCTTACATCTCTTTAAAGAGGTATTAGGAAGTAATAGCAGTCAAAGAAATGCAAGCAAACAGATCACATTGGCATCAGTGACAACAGAGATAGGCCTAGAAAGAATAACATGTTATGTTCAAATATGGTTTAAGATGACTACTTTAGCATTGAATAATTTAAACAGCTTATATCAATAAGGTAAGTATTTGTAAATAATATGACATTACGGCTATCTCTATTGCCACCATGACGCAAGCTTCTCTATTTAAGAATTCATATAATTGTAATCTAGTAGAGCAATGTTAGCCTTACCTGTGCAGACCCGGTCATGTGTGGAGTTGCAGACAGACGACTCATAAAAGCCCTCCTCACATAGACCCCCACATGCTGAAATATACATGCAACCAGGTTAACCAGATGTTTAGAAAAATATCACTCCTCATTTTGAGCATTTTATATAGAAATAACCAAGTAGCCACTTTGACATTGGAGGTTATTTTAGAAATTCCCTCTTGAACAGAGATTGTAAAGCCATAAAAGAGGTAGAAATTGGTGGTTTATTTTTTCAAGCAGTCAAATTTCCACATCAACATCTATAATCTGAACCAATGGAATTGAATGGTATCACCCATATACAAAAAACAGTCACTAATGGATGGGCAAATGGACAGAAGTCTTCTTTATCTATATCTCAACTCATCCTTTCTTCGGAGATCTAATGAGAATTTACAGTGAAATTATGCAGAAGTAATCCAAAATGACATTAATTGGTGAGAAATAAATGCTTTTGCCAATAACTTCCCAGTAACAAAAACATCACTAAGATTCCCTGTGCAAAATAGTCATAGAGAAGTGAAAACACTTGATGTTTACGTGACATGCATATATTACATATGGTATTATGCATTATAATGCACAAAATCTGATTTTAGGCATACAGTCTAACAACAAGCCCCTTTGTAACCCCCTCCCAATATTTGACTACAAAGATATACAAGAACACAAATGTGTACAAAATGTCCCCACCTATGGGTGATCCCATCAAATGGTTATCCTAAAAATGAGTAGACAAGACTTTAACGACACAATTTGAGGATGGAAAATCCAATATGGCCACCTTAAAATTTACCCAGAATGCCCAAAAATTAGTCAGTTCTAGATTTTCATACTAAGAAGCACCCCTGAAAATTTGAAATTGATCCGTCACACAGTTAACCAGAAAACATGTAAACAAAAAGACTTTACAGACAAGATTTGAGGACCGAAAATCCAAAATGGCTGCCTTGACATTTATCCAGAATGCCAAAAAACTAATCTGTTCTAGATTTTCATACTAAGAATCATCCCTGAAAATTTGAAATTGATCTACCAAACGGTTCACCTGGAAATGCGTAGACAAAACTTTACAAACAAGATTTTAGGACAGAAAATCCAAAATGGCTGCCTTGACATTTACCCAGAATGCCCAAAAACTAATCAGATCTAGATTTTCATACTAAGAATCATCCCTGAAAATTTGAAATTGATCTACCTAACGGTTCACCTAAAAACGCGTAGACAAGACTTTACGGGCAAGATTTTAAGACGGAAAATCCAAAATGGCTACCTTGACATTTATCCTGAATGCATAAAAACTAATGAGATCTAGATTTTCATACTTAGAATCATCCCTGAAAATTTGAAATTGATCTACCAAACAGTTCACCTGAAAATGTGTAGACAATACTTTACAGACAAGATTTTAGGACAGAAAATCCAAAATGGCTGCCTTGACATTTACCCAGAATGTCCAAAAACTAATCAGATCTAGATTTTCATACTAAGAATCATCCCTGAAAACTTGAAATTGATCTACCAAACGGTTCACCTAAAAACGCGTAGACAAGACTTTACGGGCAAGATTTTAAGACGGAAAATCCAAAATGGCTGCCTTGACATTTATCCAGAATGCATAAAAACTAATGAGATCTAGATTTTCATACTGAGAATCATCCCTGAAAATTTCAAATTGATCTACCAAACGGTTCACCTGGAAATGCGTAGACAAGACTTTACAGACAAGATTTGAGGACGGAAAATCCAAAATGGCTGCCTTGACATTTACCCAGAATGCCCAAAAACTAATCAGATCTAGATTTTCATACTGAGAATCATCCCTGAAAATTTGAAATTGATCTACCAAACGGTTCACCTGAAAATGCGTAGACAAGACTTTACTGACAAGATTTTAGGATGGAAAATCCAAAATGGCTGCCTTGACATTTACCCAGAATGCCCAAAAACTAATCAGATCTAGATTTTCATACTAAGAATCATCCCTGAAAATTTGAAATTGATCCACCAAATGGTTCACCTGAAAACGTGTAGACAAGACTTTACACACGAGATTTTAGGACCGAAAAATCCAAAATGGCCGACAATAAAAAAGTGATTATGAGTTTTTGCTAATTTCTTTCAACAAAATTATCACATATAACTACTGTTAACAATAACATAGGCTTTTACAACAAAGTACACCTGAAATTATTTATAAAGCTACTAAATAGTTTAAGTATGAAAACTGAATAACACCATTCAATATGATACAAAGTATTATCGTGCGCTAACTTTTCTTAAAACATTCAAAATGGCTGACATGACTGAGCTTACAGGTCCAAAACCTAATCAGATCTAGAATGAAGTGAGCTGAACAAGATGTTAAAGTTTTAAAAGCAACTGTGAAGCAGTTTTTCTTAAAGTTTGCAGACAAGGATTTTAGCATTTGACTTCAAAATGGCCGACAGATAGTTGGTATCGAGTTAATTTTTTTTCATCCACATCTGTATGCACTCATAAGTTATCCCTGAAAATTTGAAGGTGATATCTGTAGCGGTTTTGGAGAAAACTCCCGGACGTACGGACAGACGGACAGACAGACGGACAGACAGACGGACAGACAGACGGACGGACGCGCCTAGGCCGACAATATGGCCCCACACTATGTGGTGGGGACATAAAAACCTTGTCACACAGGGAGGTGGAGAGGTATGTAGTCGGGGGCACCAAGGCTCGTAGTAGCAGACATACTAATAAATATATATTGTATATGTATGATGCATTAACATTTTATTAGAATTTATCCTATTATCGCCCAATCATCTTTTCGAATAGATCTAAATTTTCATTTTTTTCTTGATTTTTGTTACTCAAGTTGCCAGAGTCTTTCATGAAAAAGTAGGGTGTGTGTTACTAGAGTATGTGCATCTATTAGAGAGAATACAGAAAATAGCTAACAGATGGGGGTATGCACATTTGTATGGCTTCTAGACAAGGGTAGGGGTCTAAATGTAAGAATTTAAACCTGATTCCAGTACTACAGCTACGAGCATGAACACAAATATAATTCCAAGTATTGATTTAATAAGGTTCCTTCTAATTGAATCTGTTCCCTCGTGGTATAAACTGATAGCTCCATTTTTCGGGATAATCAAAATTGCCTCATTTTTTGTTGAACTTTAGCCTTCAATATTGTTTGATTTAATGATAGAGTTATGTAGTCCATAAATTATATATGATGAGAGCCAAATCTTAGTACTCCCAGTAGAAATACAAAGAATAAGGACATAAAGGTTTAGTATTGAGGTGTGAAAGGAAAACAATAGACTGATCTTAAAGTTAAATGCAAGGGCTCACAAAATCTTATGATTCATAAAGGACCGTGCTTATACTCTAGAGAGGGTATATGCACATGCAACATGCTCATCAACTGGATGTGTTTATTTTCACATACATGTAGATTAGAATATAAATAAACCCCAACAGTTCAATTACTCAAGGGGCGAGGAGGAAAATTCTCAATAAATGGTGTATAGTTGGTTTGGCAGCATTTTCAGTTAGGGGAGAGTCTTGGATGAAACTTCCACCTAGGTGATAACTTCACAGAGTGGTAGGAAGTTCTTTTTTTTGAGGAGTTAGCCCCCCACCCCCCAAAAACACCCCACCCGGGGAAAAAAATTGTTCACAGTAAATAACCTTAGATATTTTGATGTTTGTAAGTGACATACATAGATATTATATATATGAATCATTTGCAGTATAATTGATGCTGATTGCTCCTAAGGAAATTGAATATTAGTACAAAGTGTGTACCCCAGGGGGCAAATTCGTGACTCATTTTCTTACTATTTTGATCCTAACTTTTCAATTAGACACTGTAAGAGGTTGAAAAAATTCATGGGAAGTGCCCAATAGCAGGGTTAGTAAACCTGCAAGATGCAAAGCCATGGAAGAGGTAGGAGCTGAGAAAAAAATTGTTGATTTTTCGAAAAATTTGACATTTTTGACAGTTGGATTTTGTGTATGACTATAGCTGACCCCTATAGTTTCTAGATCCATCCCTCTATAATGATATTTATGGTTTTATAGTGTGGAACTAAGATGTAAAACATAATTTAGATGGGTTTTAAGGAAGTTAAAGGTTTTAAACAAGTCCAAAATTTGAAAAATTGTAAATATAAGGTTTCAAATTTACATATTCCAGGTATAGCCATGGCTGACCCCTATAGTTTCTAGATCCATCCCTCTATGATGATATTTATGGTTTTGCCATGTGAAACTAATATGTAAAACACAATTTAGATGGGTTTTAAGAAAGTTTAAGGTTTTAAACAAGTCCAAAATTTGAAAAATTGTGAATATAAGGTTTTAAATTTACGAATTTCAGGTATAGCCACGGCTGACCCTTATGGTTTTTTCATCCATACCTCTATGATTAAATATACAGTTTTAGAGTGTGGGACTAAGATTTAACATATCTAAAATGAATTTTAAGGAAGTTTAAGGTTTTAAACAAGTCCAAAATTTGAAGAATTGTAAATGTTAGGTTTCAAATTTATTAATTTCAGGTATAGCCAAAGATGACCCTTATGGATTTTACATCTATACCTCAGGGATGAAATATATAATCTTAAGAGTATTTAACTAAACTGTAAAAGATACCTAAGATGAGTTCAAGGTTTTAAACAAGTGCAAAATTTGAAAAATTGACCTCAAAATTGGTCTTAAATTCACGTTATTCAGGTACAGCCTTGAAAGAGCCCTGATAATTGAAGGTTATGAGTATAATAGTATCAACTATGATATCGTAGCTTAGAGACCAGGTGTAGAATATATACCTGTTGCAGAAGTTAGTCTGCTGCATATAGATGGAATGAAAAGTCGTGAACTACAGTAAAATCCCTCTTATCTGAATGCTACTAGTATTTGGACCAGCTAAAAGCATTCTAATTAGGAGTGTTTGAATTTTGAGGTTTTTACATCTACAATACAAGTTCTGGATTTTGAAGAAATATGGATGCATTCTCAATGAAAAATATTAATAATATTTATACTGACCACATAAAAAGCTT